CAACTTGGAGAAGTGGTTCGCTGTGAGAGTTTCTTTGCATTGCCTAAATTTGTAAGAATTACTGTCAGAATGCTTATCTCTTTGTTTATTTTGGGCTTGCAGCCAACCAGAGTCTGGACTGATTAAAAGTATTCTTATTTACGTTTGCTTGTGGCTTTCATTTCTGGATGGAGAAGGGGGGTCAGAACAGGAATGTATGCCAGCCTGCTTGCAGATCATGGCCTTCTAAGGTCAAAATTCTTTTATTCTTTAGCTCTAGCCAATCCTTCACCAATCTTGTTACTGCTGATGCATATAAATCCCAATTTGGTAATGCTAAGCTTCCCCTCTCCTTGCTGTCTTGCATTGACTTTAGTTTTAAATAGGAAGCTGGAATATTTCAAAGTCAAGCCTATAGTGCACACAATCTTAAAAATGATTTCTCAGCTTAAATATATCAAGATGTGAGATTTAATAAATGAGTTACAATAGGCTGTAACAAATATCCAGACAGCACATCTCCCTCACTACGTGATTTCATTTCTCCATTTCCCATAAAAAATATTATTTTGGTGTGAAAAGTTTGTTATCTCTTATTTTCCCAGGCTGCAGTTATACTTTGTTGATGAACAAAGAGCATGTTTGCATATTGTGGAAAATCAGAATATTTACTGTTTTTCTTATTTATTTAACAAATATTTAACATTTTTGTCTGTTTTGAGCCGCCCAGACGGGCTAGATGAGATAGGTGGCCATACAAATCAAATAAATAATAATAAAATCATAGGAAGTCTGGAATTAGTCCAAATTTTAAAGTCCTGCTATATGTAATTATAGAACAATGATTTACTGTATGTAGAAGATACTAAAAATTTAGAGTTCAGTGTTTTTCCCATGGAAAGAGGCTATTCAAGCAAACAGATTCTACTAAGTCTTTCCATCTTTTACAGCACCATTGTTGCATAAATCTTGGTCTTTCTAATACAATATCAAACATCAGATAGTGTTCCCTTTCTCAAAATTCCAGTACTATCATTTAAAACATTACCTTTCTGAATCTGCTGAAGATGTTGCAGGAGGATAGGAACAGTTTGCCTTATAATACTAGGATGGGTGGACACTGCTGCCAGAGCTTGTAGATGTTTCTGATGGGAAGAAATACTGTCCTGAAGTTCTGAAATATATCAATCACATAATTAGTTTGGTCACAAGTATTTGACTTTCTGAAGATAGCATAGCAATCTTCCATATGTAGGTTAAGTTTATTTACAATAAATATATTTATAACGCATTCACAACTATTGAGAAATTCAGACAGGGAATTAGTACTTCTGTGCAACTATTAAGAAAGATATCCTCTGGAATGATTCTACCTGACTCCAGTCCTTTTGAAAACTTCTGAACCAAATACTTGCTGAAGATTTCTGGGTAGACAGGCGCAAGGGTGCCAGCAGCATCCATAGCTGCCAAACTAAGAAGATATAGAAAAAGTAAGAATGAACTGCTATAATGAATCAAACAGATCTTTTTGTGGGAATCAATTTTTGAAATTGCAATACCATATACTCTATGTGTGAGGTTTAATAAATGTTACTTTATAAACACACTGAACCAGAGTGATGCCAAATGCCTAGATTTTGCTAAATTCCATCCAGAAGTGTTAGGCTAAATACTGGTAGTAGAGGACAGGGATTCTCACTAGACATATTATCAAATAATCTCACAGGCTTTGAACCGTGGTTAGATGGTGGCTTGAGCAATTAAAAACTTAACTGAATTAACTGGTACTTCTATGGAAAAATTATCAACACTAATGGCCAAGTCCCATAAAATATTAACCTGGAAATGCTAATCTAGGTGAAAGTAGGTCTGTGATTAGACTTTTTCTTTTTACTTTTTCTTTTAATTTTATTTTAGTATGATATAAGATCCAGGACTTCATGCTGAGCCATAACATAGCTTATTTCTTTGGGCATTATCTTGTTATGTGAACCTATTCATAACATTATCTTGTTATGTGAGTATTTGGACACAAATTAATATCAAAGAATGACCGTACAAACTCAAATATGAGGAATCAAATGGGATTACAACAACACTATTAGAAATGCCTCTTTCTGTTAATTAACTTGTGTAAAAATCTTAGATCAAGATATGGAAATCTGAAATTGAAGAATTTACCATTAGGTATTAACTGGTAGAATTCTTTTTACTATTTGCAAACAAATTTGTAATAATACCCAATATCACAAAAAGGAAAAATGCTTTTTTAGAAATTCTCAATGGTTTGTTTGATCAAGAGGATTGTTCTGACCTGATCTGGGAATCCTTTTCATTCAGGATGGACTGTGCAAAGTGATCTGCAAGCTTTTCCACATCTGCAAGATCCAGAAGCTCTAAAACAGAAAAAATAATCCTATATTATATTCTACTTCTTGTGAAGTAATCACAACATATACAAATTCCATTCAAATGATCATTTGGGGGGGGGGGATGCTGAGCTGTTAAGACTAGGAATCATGCTAACCAGCAAACCAGACCCATGTATACTCACTAGCATCTAAAAATGCACTTGAGGGGGGGGGGGAATATATGATCTTTCCTCTACCTTCAAGGAATGCCATTTCAAACCAAATAATAACACACACCTTTATGAGATCCTAGAAATGTCAGAATCTGGATCCCAACCAATTGAAGTTGAATATTGGGCTCAGCTAAGGCAGAGAATACTACAGAGCACAAAGAGTCTTTGCAAGAAAGCAGTGGACTTTTGTCTGTAAAGGAGGCAGAAAGAGAGTTACATGTAATGAAATAATCTTGAGTATATTCAAACCTAGAAACAAGGTTTTTTCTAGCATTGCTACTATAATGGTAACTTTCAGTGTCAAACCAGGGGTCTGTGAGGGTTGTAGAAAAAAAATAAATTTTAAAGAAGTAAAAATCATCTAAAGCTCTAGGTGATATAACAATACCACCTTACCTACAAATTCCTGGAAGAATTTTAAAAAAAAGATCTCCAGAAAGGAGGAGGCATCTTGAGAAAGATAACAGAATTTGAAACTTATGCAGAATCAAGAACACCTGACATACTTATAGATCAATGAAATATGGTGACAAATTTTAAAAATGCAAGATAAAATGGATGCAAAATTCAAAGAAATAATTACAGTGCAACAATGGAATGAGCTATAGCTATAACATTAATTCCAAGCTGCAATTTGAGGGAAAATTGTTAGAAGAATTTTATAGACGATATATAGTATATCCTTGTCAGTGATTAACAAGATGGATAAATCATACAATATAGTGGTCCTCAGCCTATAACCATTTGTTTAGGGACCATTCAAAGTTACAACAGCACTGAAAAAGTGATTTATGAGCAGTCCTCACACTTACAACCATTGCGGTGTCCCCAGGGTCAAATGATCAAAATTTGGGCACTTGGCAACCAGCATGAATTTATAATAGTTGCAGAGTCCTGGGGTCATATAATCACCATTTGCAACCTTCCCTGATGGCTTCAGACAAGCAAAGTCAATGAAAGAAGCTGGATTCACTTAACAACCATATGATTCACTTCACAACTGCCTTGCTTAGCAACAGATACTCTGATCCCAATTGTGGTTGTAACTATCTGTAACTAATGCTAGCAACGCTGCAATAAAAAGGGACATTCTGCTCATGGAATGGTAATGTAACACCCCTCACCCCTCAAAAAAGTATTGGAAAAAATATACGAAATTTTTTTAAAAATATTAAAAATAAAATTTGAACTGAGACCATATATATATATTATTAAGAATAATTTCAGAGAGCATAAATAAAAATACTCCAATCTATTAAGACAAATGCTGACATTGGCAAAAACCAGTTTGATACAGTACTGGAAAAATGAAATCCTGTCAACAACGTAACAATGAAAAACCCAAATTAGGGAATATGCAGCTTTGGCAAAACTGATTACATATATTTATAAGAAAAGTTTAGCTAAATTCAAGCAGGAATGGTTCCTTTATGCATGATAAATCACACAGCAAGGCAGACTTGGAAATTTAGAATTCGGTTTTTAAGAAAAAGTTTTCCAGAATTGACCTCAATCATTACAAAGAATGAAAATTTCCTTATGTCTCTCCTCTTTCCCTCTCAGACTACTGCTCTGCCCCTATGGATGAAAATCATTTATCTCTGCAGAACATACCTTTGGATAACAAAGAAACACAATAAATATAAAGAAATAGTTAACAACAGCCTTGCTAGCAAAATACTTAAGTAAAAGAAATTTCTGCTCTAGAAGGTAATTAAGCAACAACTCACCTTCCTCCTCGGGACCCCAAATTTGCCGCAACTCCAAGAAACCAAGCAACACCTCCAAGACTGTCCTGTGCTGACTACTCTACAAGAGATCAAGAGGACACAGGATGGATTGGAGAAACCTCCCTAGATAGAGGAAAAGACAAGCTATGCAGACTTTTGCTCTAAATTAGAGTCCAACCCAACTATAAGCCTAGGGCATGTGGCAGAACTGCCACAAAATATATTGAGACGGGAGTTACATGACCTTTTAAACCTGCTCTTCAATAGAATGTTTTCTGCCCCATTTTTTTCTCACCTGCTCATGCTTGGCATACTGCTCCAACAGCAAAGGAAGTACACTACTTGTGATCTGGTAATAAGCCCGCAAAGAAGCTCCTGCAGCTGCCTGCAAGAGTTTAGCGCTTGGCCACACCAGTTTCATGTCAGGCTCACATAGATGGTGTCTGCAATCTAAAATAAACAAGATTGCTTAACAGTAATAGCATGCCTTACAAAGCAGCAGCAATATTGTATTTATTCCACTAGGGTGATGATTGCCAACAGCATTAAAGTTTAATTAAAAAATATTCTCTGCATCTTATTTCCTGAGACCTTCTCCTTGAGTGCTGAGAGCCAAATCATGACTGTAACATTAAAATGAACTATCTTCTCTTCAAGGTGTTTACTTCTTTCAATAGCACATCAAGGAAGAACAACAGAATACCTATCATAGGACCAAAAAACCCAACATAAGAGCTCTTCAGGGCCTACCTTGCAGGACTCCTCTAAGAAAGGAATCCAGAAGATCCTCATCATCAGCTCCAAGCACCAAACGGGACAGACATGCTGACAGAGCTCGCAAAGCAGACAAGCATTCTGCTTCTATCTTCTCACTTGCTGTTTGGAATACCTATATAAAAAGATGGAGTCAGATCTTCTTGTTTTTACTACAGTGAGTATATTTAACTAGTATTACAGACGTCTTTAAAAAGCAAGCTTAATCTATTTCTTCCATTTCTCTCTGTAACTTCTTTAAACATTATACCATTCATAACTATTCACTGTGAAATTGTATAAAGTCTCAGGGACAGTAGAACCTCAGAAAGGCAGAGTGGGAAAGTTCAGAATGCATGGATCCCCAGAAGCTCAATCTATCTCCCCCCCCCCCCCCCCCCCGCCACACACAAATACACTACTTCCTCTTACTTCTGTGCGCAAGGATGACCAAAGGCTAGGGAGGAATTCTTTCAGTTCTTTATGCCCATAGATTTTGCATGCAGCAACCTGTAAGGAGATACACAGAAATAATTAGCTGTGTGTCTTAATTGCTACAAGTAGCCCCATAGCCAATACATTGTACCATTTGGACATAAAGTAAAACTAATTCCTGTGGCTCAGGCAAATTTAATTATCACTATTGAGTGTTCTCACCAGGGTTTGCAAGGAATCCAGTTTAGCACTTTGTACATCTGAGTCTATTTTCTCAATGAGCAATGGAAGTAGGAACTGTAGAAAGAAAAAGTAATAAAGAGCACAATTTGGAGAAAAAATATTAAAAAGCACGCTTT